TTCATAATATTGCATATATGCGTTTATGAAAACGTTTAATTCAACTTATAAAGTGGAATAATTTTGTGTTTCTTCTATTATGAACGATATTTGAAACTAGTTTAAAAATATTTACTAAAAATATGAATCGCCTCGTTTTTCGCTTAACTATTTTTGTACCTGTAATTTAACTGTTCCCAACTATCAATCAAGAAATACAAATTCAAAGTTTTCTGTATTTCGAAAAATTGCCCTTCAAACAAAAACTAGTGCCGTGTTGCATTCCAATAATCAGTAGAAAATTTAATAATTTAGATAGTAGAAAAATGTGGAATTGTAGGTGAAAAAGGCAAATAAAATCAACAGCTAAAATGTAAGAAAATACAAAACTATCAAGCTGAATCAATAAATCATCCAATGAGACTTTGAAGAATTAAAGGACGAATTTGCTTAAACTCGCTCACAGTTGTGAAAGGATTTATTCTGGTTACTGAGCAGTCTTCTAATGATATTTTCCGAGTCTTTTACAATTGTGTTTGCATACATCGAATTTTCGATTAGTAAACCTCCTATTGAATTTTGAAAAGTTTTCAGCCTGGTTTTGGGGAACAAATTGCAAAATCAAATTGGAAGGTTTCAGAGAAGTTGGAAGACGTATTAAAAAGTTTGCCAACATTAAGGACCAAACAAAGAGCAGGTTTTGAACTTTGCAGATAGTGGCGAGACGCACGCGTCGCCATTTTGGTCGATGATCCGCGCTTTGCAAAACATTCATGTTCCCGCCATTGAAGTTCTGGATAAAGGGAAAGGGAATATCATTCGTGGTTCGTGTGGACGTGTTTTGTATTTAAATTGAGGAAAATAAGCACGCAGCGGGGCAATTTAATAAATTTCTTTTTTCAGTTTAAAGAGTCCGTTTTCACATTGATTTAACAATAAATCGGAACTTCGAGGAGACTTTGTCTATATGGGAGAATACCGTCCGGGTAAATAATTTGATGTTTTAAACAAACCTGTGCTGATGCAAAAAGTTAAAATTTATGGCCTCCTTCGCCGAAAAGCACTTGGCGTCAAAACCTGCGTTTCTGGATTAGTTGGAAACTTTCTCGCGATTGCGATACTTTCCTGCTAATAATGCAAGATAGCTTGGCAGTTTTACACCATCATTCCAAGCCTTAGTGTTCTGTCTTAAAAGTCCACTCTAAATTCACATTTCTTTTATTCGATTTTTGCGCCTAAACGAGTCGAGACGCCTTTAAAAGTTTACTAATTAAAACCGAATCCACGTTTCCAGATACCAGAAACTTCTTGAAAGTTGGCCCGTTCTTGCGGAAAGTAATTAAAGTTGATTGAAAAATGTCCAAAGTCCAGAATAGTTTTGCACTGTGCTTTAGTTATTTGAAAAATGGTTGAGTTCATCCCGAAAAATGTACCGACAGTTTGATCCGTTAAACCTCCTTAAGAGTTTGGATCATTAATGATTGGTTTCACATTTCATTGGCAAATAATCCATATCGAATAGATCATCTGTTGGTAAGTACTGTATATCCAGTCAGCAAGGCCGAAAAACGTAAATAGAAAGAACCCTTCATAAAGAATAAGGTGGCCCACGCGTGTATATTCGGAGGAAAGAAAACAAAAAGATAAATGTTTATAAACAGCCACTTTTGTGACGCAGCCAATGCGCGTGTTTACGCACGTCATCAGAAAGCTCCGAGCTTTGGAAAAAGCGTGGCGTCGGTCTCAACGACGTCGACGGCGTTGCCGATTTTCCTCTAATTGGTTATCGAACATGCAATTTGTATGATTCACTCCAGAATGCGATTTTGCTGTTTTCCAAATGTCGATGATGACTGGAATAGTTACGCAAATCCCAGCCTATTTTGCTTATTTTGATGCAAGCTTGCCATTGAAGATGGTTCAAAAGTTTTCAAATGCTTAAAAAAGCAATCGTTACAAACCTCGAGAATTCTAATTGAACACATAATCAAAAAAGCCTGTGATTCAAGTCATCAAAAAAATCATAAAGGGCCGACAAAACAACTCGGACAAATGTGTGTCTTTATGATCAATTTTCTAGAAAACTACAAACGTTTCGCTTCAAAGCTGTGAGCTTTTCTCTCAGAAAATAATGGAAATGGGCCAAAAGCCCCAGATTGAGGCAAATGATCTAAATTTTTGTACTCCAGCAACTGTAATCCTGCAACTTCCTGCAAAAGTTTCCGCGAGAACACTATTTTTAAACATTATTTTAAAATGAGTCGTAAATTGAGACGGAGAATTAAAAAATAAAAACAACTAGCAAAAATTGCAAAACTGATGAACCAAACGAGAGACACTACAAAATAAATAGTAGTAAAACTTCACTGCAAATGTTTTACTTCAAAAGCACGGAATTTTCTTCCTGAACCATTTAAACTTCGTCCAGAAGTTTCCATAAGAACATGTTTTTTAAAAGGTATTTTTAAAATTTGTTATAACTTGAGACAAACAACATAAAAAAACCACTAGCAAAAAATTGCAAAACTGATGAGTAGAAACTTCGGAATTTCCATAAAAGTCCATATGGACCATTTTGCGCGTTTTAATCTGATGGAAGGTGATTCTAAACTGTTTGCTGTTAAAAAGTAGCAAACACAGCGCGCATTTAATCTAGATTACGAGACGATTTAACGACCTTTTAATCTGCTCAACTTGCAGAATTTGAAGAATGATTCTTAAATATTTCTTCTGAAAATACTCATCTGAAATCTTATTAGATTGAAATAAATATTCGTTTATAAAAGAAATTGCTTGTTATTTTCGGTAGAAATTATTAAAACTATTCAAACGCGTTATTTCAATGCTATGCGTTCTGCAGCAATAAAAATATGCTAAAAGCTCAATATTCAAGAAAATTATCATAATTCTAGCAATCCTCTGATTGCAAACCACTTGCAGAAAAATTCAACAAAGATGATGAAATCTGTAAAAGTATCAAAAGCATTTAAACGAGACTGAGACCAATCTGATTACTAGAAAAACTATATGTAAATAAAATTAACAAATTCGACTGTCTATGAAAGTCAAATGGTAGGAAAATTCGCAAAAAACTCAACAATGATTGAAAACAAATAAACCAAATACTTAGATGTATTCAAAATAGCAAGAATCCTTAAACGAAACTGATAGCATTTAGATTATTAAAAAAATATATTCATAAATGCAAACAACAATTCGAACATTAATGCATTTTATGAACGATTATTCGAAAATGTTTAGTATAAAAAAATAATCGTTTATAAGCAACAAACTGATAGATTAAAATAATTATTCGTCGATAAAAGAATTGTTATTCAATGTTAAAATGATGCATTAAAATGGAGCATTAAAAATAGCAATCAATAAAAAATATATTAGGCAAATATGAATTAGAATAGAGTTTCTACACAAACGAGAATAAGTCGAAAAATACAAATAATAACGATGAATGAATAGTAAAAAGTACCAAAAACATGTTCAGGTAAAGGATCAAAAGACGCAAAAAGTAAAATGAGAAAAGCACGACTTAGGCAATTTGGAGCCATGGAACTTAAACGTAAATTATATCTTTTTACTGAAAGTGATAAAGTGTTGCTTGATATATTCCCATTGCGTCTCAGCATAAGAATTTAGCTAAGAAGATTAAGTATAAACATCGATAAAAGCATGTAATCGAATATGTATTATTCGACTGATATGTTTGAAAGATTGAAGAAGATACGCACAATGAGAGAAGAAATTAAAAAAAAAACAGGGAACAAAAAACCCTTTAATATTGGGTTTTATAGCAAAGCAAATGTATCGGCAAGTTACAGAAAGGAATGAAAAAAAGAGAGAGTATATTATTGAGAGAAAAGTTGGAAATTTTAATCGAGTTCGTTAGCATCTATACATGGAAAAAAGTGAGTAAAAGCTCAAAGATAATTTTGCTAATTGATGAACTGAAGCCAAAACATTCAGAATTTATCAAATGTGAACTACGTTTTAGAACAGATTTAGAAAGAATATTGTGACATAACATTGAATATTGTGGCACCGTGTGAATCGCTTCATGTGCCTTAATTCCAATTTAATTTTGGCAGTTCATAATCACCAGATAGAAAAAATAATCTCATCTTTAAAAGTTTTATATTCTTCTATATAAACAACACTTCAAAGGTAAACAACACTTATCTAATCATTGAATAACGTATCATTGCGCTTAGTATGCTGGCAATAGCCTGATTCTTTCCGTATGGAAATGATTGTTGCACTAAGTTTTTACACTAAGATTTAGAGAAAACTATCCAAACACTTCACGCTTCACTTAATTTAACAGATTTTCGATTTATTTCGCAAAAAGTTTCAAAACTATTAAAATACGCAATTGTTCAATTGGTTCATAAGAAGATTGCGGTAATTTCACATTAACTGTTTTCAATGTTTTAATTAATAAACTCTTGAGATAATTTCTTTATTAAAATGCATCGGAAATACAAAATAGGTTAAAAATAACCGGATTTCTTCAAATGGAGAGCGAATAAAAAGCATGCAGTGCCGGCTAAAATACCGCATAGGATATTTGCCGGTAAGGAGTAGAGAAATAGATGCATTCTCAAAGTCAACATGAATTTATTTGCAAAGCGTGATAAAAACTACATAAACAATTGTTAAAGCCTTAAATCAACGTGCTTAATGCAACTTTCAGATATGCCCGCGAACTTTGCACAGCTGAATATTAATTTTAAGCTTCATATTTTAAACTGGAAACTCGAATATTATCAACGTTGCTCTTCCCGCGCTTTAGAACCGGCAAAAAAATCTAAAGCTTTCCTGAGCGTAACTTTATTGAAAAGTTGAACAATAAACTCGACAAATTAATTAGTTTAGATAGTGTTTAGTGTTTATTTGTCTGTCGCTTTAAAGCTGGTGAAAAACACAACTTTAGATTTCAGTACACAAATCTTACATGCAATCAAGCTATCCATGCGAATGGCACACACTAAAAAAAACCAAAATACCTATTTAGGAAAATATGAAAATCCAAAATGAGAAGGGGCAAAAAATCGTACACTGACCATGAGAAATAAAAAAACTTGGTACACACACAACACAGCACGCACGAAGCTTTCAACTGGACTCCGCTTTACGCACACTTTGAAACCTTCATGTCTCGCGCCGTATAAGACATCTGTCGCGTTTTTGCACCAATCAGGATCGAGAGTCCTTTTATTCGGCGTCGGTCGTAGTCCTTTCGTGCCAGGATCGGAGCTTTGAGCTTTCAGGATTCTCAGTTTTACAATCACTATTTCCCGCTATTAGTCTTGGAGCTCGTTGCGACTTTGCAATAGATGCGTCATCAAGCTAAAGTCAATTAACATATGCCTTTATTTTAACATTTTTAAAGTGGTGGAGAAATGTCTTGTGTCTTACTCTAGATCGAGTTGGTCCTTGATTTTGTCCTCAATTTAAATCACTTTAAAGTCTTTAAAACTTTGAGTTTCCAATGTAGAATACAAACTAGCCCGATTGTATTTCTTGTTGTTTCTAATTTTTTCGTGGAATTTAATTCAATTAATGCCAGAAAAACAGTAAAAAATGATCGAATTTTTCTAATAATACTCGAAAGTGTTGCAATGCCGCTCAAACTTTGTTGTGTACATAGTCATAAATTGTCAAGCAGTCAGTGTCCGATAATTGTTGTTTAATAATTTTCGACTTTACTAATAAAAATTAACACAGCTACCGTCGCGAGTGCTTAAAACCTTCCCAGAAAAGTCCCAATACTTTACTCATGTTCCTCGTAATTGATAGTGAATGCTTGTTAAGATTGTCTTAATACAACTTGACAGCAAACGTCAGAAAATTTCTTATGAGAAAATCGCATTTTTTGATAAAGAAGTAGCCCTTTAGACCGACGCAATGACCAAAACCGACAAAGAAAAACTTCCTGATTAGAAAAACGTGAGTTCTCTTAACAAAAATGCAAAAATACCGGAGTTTTTTTAAATCTAGACGGAGCGATTCCCGCTCTATCCACAACTAAACAATACATCACATTCGGTCAAATGACATAAGAACTGACGTGATTTTTGAAGTCTGGCATCTGGATTACAGTGTTTTAAGATAATAATAATAATAATAATAATAATAATTTAAGATAATGTTTTTAATCATACAGTGCTTATTAAGATATTTATTAAGTGCGTGTCAGTTTTTCAGTCTAGTGGAGATTTCATACGTTAACCAAACACCAAAGCAAAAAAAATCATAACATACAAAAAACCATAAAACTCATTTGTTATACATGGGCAAAAACTAGTGTTGCGCCAACGATAATTAACTAAAATGCGTCAATTTTTCCCAATCAGTTGCGGTTTTTGTAAGAATTGTTCACTATTTTTCGGCCCTTCGACAATACGCATCTGATTGCCTACGAAATATCCAACAGCTGTGCAGTTTGGAACGGGCCAGAATACAAAACATATTTATCAAGCGAAATGTGTGCTTAAGATTGTCAAGCTCGCTTGGCCCAATGGGAGACGATTTGCCCATTTATTGAAGCGTTTTTACACTGCAGACTCCCTATTCGGAGCAACAGCTTTTAAAATGTTTTTAATTCGTTTCAATGAACTTCCTCTACTTACAAACTTTATTAGCTTTCTTTAATTAGTCACAATTTACATTAATACAGAGTGTTATTCTCTTACTGATTTTACAAGAAAAAGTTCATATAAGTTTCAATACACAGGATATACATATACGGTTTTTCGTAAATAACTCTATAATTAATAAATCATTTTTTTGTCGATATTGTTGAAATTCGGCGCCGGAATTCACAGACGTAAGAAGCCAATTTTGTCCTAAATAGACTTAAATTTTTAAGGCCAGTGACGTCCCCGTAGGACAACCTTGGAAATATTTTTAAGAATAAAATTGTGCGTAATTTTTTGCAATTTATCAATTTTTTCGAACTAAGCAACTTACAATAAACTGCTTTTTCTCTTTATTTTTTTTGGTATATCGCACCATTTTCGAGATATGAAATAAAAAACGCTTTATTTCATGCCCGTGGGACAACATGTTCCATGCGCCTGGAACACCCTGTATATTGAGAAGAAATTCCATCAACTTTTCTTCAAAAAATCACCTCCTGAGGTTTAGCTACCTACTTAAATAGCACGCTTTATACTATGTGTTTCATGCATATTCAAAATATTTTTGGCTCATCTTGCCTAGATCAGCCTCATACATTTTTACTGAACTTATATAGAAATCTCATCCGTGTAGAATACAGAGTGTTTCAGAATCAAAATGACAAAAGCCTATAGACATACAGGGTATTTGTTAATGAGGGTGAAGAAGAGGTAATTTCAGATTTTTTTTTTCTCATTTAGAAGTTAATTTTAAAGAGGGTCTTTAAGCTATTGATAAAAAAATAGTTTTTGCTTGAAAAACGCTGTAGCGGATCTGTGTACAAATTGTGCGATTTATTGGAATATTTATCCCAGCTGTATAAATTCGATTTGATCCAGATAGTACAGAGCCGCTTGATATTTTTGTGTGTTGTGAGATCATTTTATTTAATTATAATTGGGAATTAACAGCAATTTTTTTCTAGAAAATGAAGCACAAAAACATCAAGAGACAAACACGTATTCATTAATCCGGATAACATGAATATTTCAAAACACCTAAAGGCTGTAAAATAACAATGCTAATACTTGTTTAATGATGAAAACAAAAAAAACGATGTATAAAAAACCCACGGTCTCTTCCTTATATATGTCCATAATATATGTTTGAAAGTCTTTATTCAAAGTGCTCTAAAGATTCTCAAGTTGAAAAGTCTCAAATGAACTTCTTGTTTGTTTGTTGTATCTGAAAAACGCATTTGTGAACTCGAAACTGAATATTTCCCAGAATTTCATGACTTTAATTCTACTCTGATTTATTTTCCTGACTGCATGTATTTGTTATGATATTCTTATCTTTCCTGGGTCTCAGTCAAAGTGTGAAGTAAAAATTTTGTGTTGCGAGAGTGGTATGCATGTATTGAGAGAAGCCGAAATAGTTTTAATTTTTCACCAGTGTACTGGGTGTTCCATACTTATGGCTTTATTAGGGTTTGGTAAATGTTGCTAAGGTTGTCGGTATCTGATCTGAAATTTACTGTTTTTGCATGTTTTTTTATTTGTATCATTTCTTGGACTCTTCTTTTATGATAATTTGTTTCCCTAATTAATATATCTGCGTTGTTAAAATCAAAATTATGCAACATTATTAACCGTACTTAAAATGCTTCCAATTTCAGAAAAAAACGTGACTTTTTCCTTGTTGGGTTATGATTGCGTGGCTTAACAACATTTTTCGACTTTTTACCTTCGTGCATACATTATCACACAAATCCGAAATTCACTTATCCTTCCTATCTAATAAGGACGCTATACCAACAAAGGATAAGCTCCTGTTACATCAAAGATTCCCAAATTTCGCCGGGTAATTCCTGTTTAATCGCATATCGACCTTAATAGCGTCTCGTGGCGAATTGCAAAATCTTCCAGTTTGCAAAACAGGTACAGGCAACTTGAGGAGACTCTGCCGAAATAAGGAATGAGGGCAGGCACGTGCGTAATCTACGCACACAATACACAAAGAGCCAAAGGCCAATTTTATACAGCATTCTCATTAAGCCCTACTCCTCAGATATGCGTGACTGTTTCAGGTAGCTACGTGGGTGGAATTATACATAATTCAAAATTAATATTTTATAATGAACCTTCTTTCCTCATTACGACCGAAGCGAAGAATTTGCATTTATGGATCTATTTAACAATTGGTTTAAAAACCCCGCAAATATTGGCTTGATCGACTTCAAAATCATATTAAGTTTAATATTAACCTTTATCTCTTCGGCTTGTAGAAAATAAGACTAAAAATATCGCAAATAGACTCGATACGTTGCCGACCCACAGTAAATAAAACTCCTGTAAAAATGTTAAAAATGTTATATATTTCAAAGTTCGTGAACAAAAGTCCCTCAAAATCTAGTGAAGATTCCAGAAGATTAATTCCAAGCTAAAAATATATAAAATCATATTAAAGTATCACAATAAACACGCAGGAAAGCAGATTTATTCATGTCCGTTAGTTTTCATTTTTTTAGCGGGACCCTCATTGTCTCCCTCGTCATCGGGTTCTTTTGCCTCCGGACAATCACTATCAGTTGGCGCCAACACATCTTTAAACAGGAGCTTTTTAAAGTCTTCATATTTGGCTGCATCAGCTAGTAAGCTGCCTGGCCCAACCTATTAACAAATACATACAGATAGAAATTGTAAATAAATAAAGAAAGGAATTGAAAAACAAACAAAAACTAGCATTTTCGTCTTCTTAGAAAGACAAATTAAATGCTTACCGTAGATTTGCAATATTCGAATTACTTTTTATTTTGCTTCTTTATTTTTTATAATATAATATAATAAAATACTGAAAACCCAAAAACTTAGTTTTCTACGGAAGATCCTAAATCGGCAACATCCAACGCATTGTACTTCTCACACGCTCAACACGAAACCATCATCATACCGAAGCTAAAGTTAAAAAATCTAAGCTCTTTACTCACTTGTGGAAGCTCTAAATCAGTCCATTGTTTGGCCTCAGTGTCAACATTAATTATAACTCTGTTTGTTGTCGGCTTTTTGACTCCATAATTATTTAATCCCGCCTGCGAACTAGTTGAAGTGTTACATTTGAGAATTTCTCTTAGAACCATTGTGGCGTAACATGCCGAAGGTAGACTGAACGACAGTACAATTGCCTTGTACTGTCCCTCTAAAAGAAATGTAAAATTAACCAAAACTATACAAAACGCAATATTTAGTGGTTGAAATTGGCCTCGATCCACCAGCAATAGTTTCACTCACCAGCAATAGTTTCGGGTTCCTTGACTCCACTCAACTCTTCGAGATCAGACCGTATAAGATTATCGGTAGGATCATTATAACATAAAATTTTCCATTCCAGATCTTTAACATGCTGAACTATTTTCCTGTACGTTCCACTTAAGTTATATGTTCTGTAAAAGCAAATTCCTTGTAAATGCAAAAAGTTCAACGTAGTCCTAAGAACTCACTTGACTTTCTTTTCAGGCATCTCCAAAGTTAAACCATGCTCTTCAATCGCTTCTTTGTAATACTCTTTCAAATGTTCTGGATATACAACATCATAACCAGGAAGCGGCAATACAATGTCATATATTGAATAATTGTACAATTCATCCGAAGTAAGCGGACGTACTGTGAATCGGCCCTTCTTTTCCTTCAGGTCTTCATCAACGTCAGTTTTCTCATTAGCATCACCGTCTGTTAATATTAATTACTTTAAAAAGATTTAAATAATCAACAATGTTAAGTACCAGTTGCATCCTCTTCTTCCTCCTCGGGACATTCCATAGCCACTTCTGCATCCTCCGGCTTATCAACAATGATCAAATCGCCTTCAACTGGTTTCAAACCAAATTTCTCGATTCTCTTCGATGTCATTTTATTCCAAATTAAACTTTGAAAAGCATGCATATACATCAGTCTAACAGACCTTGGAATCTAAAACGACAAATACTTACATTCAATGTGCGCATTTAAACCGAGAATGTACATTGCTAGTAATAAAGAAAGACAATTTACATTTTCCAGGGCATTAAGCGGATTGTTTTGATGGTGCTTAACTAAGCCTTCTAGCAGCTTCTTCTCAACCGTTTGCCTCTGCTTATCACACAATAGGAGCGCTCTTTTCGCATTCCCTGTTTCAGCATATACTTTTTTCGCCTGATTATTTGCCTGCAATTTATCGTCAGCAGCTTTCACTTTCAGAATCAGATCTATAGCCTACAACAAAAAATTATTCTGAAAAAAGTTTGATGATAATAATAAACTACAGAAGGCTACTAAGGACAATGTATTTTATATTAAAAATATAAAACATGAAGAATTTGCAGAATAATATGGAAGTGAGACACTTTTTTGAGCAAAAAGGAACAGCAAAGAAGTGAACACTTTTTGCATTCGACTAATCAATAAGATATCCGAAAGCTTCAATTCAAAGAAAATTTCAATGAAATAACCCAAAATGATTTTCGAGAATAAACAGAAGATGCGATTTTTTTCTAAAACTACTGATTTTTGCCCATTTTTCTATACAAAATAACAGCGTTTCAAAATGAGTATTTCAAGTTAATCTTGCCCAACCTCAAACGCGCATAAAAAAAGGTTAATTAGCGCTTATAAAGTAGAAGTTGTCTATCCCAAAGGGTGCCATAATTACAATTAAAAACATTTTGAAACAAATCAATTTTATAAAAATGTTCATCGAACTGGATTCGCCGTACGAAAGACAGGAAATAATTTACGTATAGAAAGCACAGTATATTTTCATTTTGAGAAAAATCCCTGACAAACCATTATTTTATTTAAAATTGTTGAAAAACGTGTCGTGCCCCGCAAAAATGTTTTCTCACAAAATGTTAATTTCATTAGCCCTCAAACGCGCTACAGTTTCTTCTAAATATTCCAATCGGCTTTTGCAAATTTAATAAAATAAACTTTATTAACCACAATTTAACTATATATTTGGATAGAAACAACTAAGTGTTTTTGAAATATGGTATAGCAGTGAAATATTTGTAAAATTAATTGTACTATAACTTCCAGCCTAATGTAAGTGTACCTCTTTCCATTCACCCTTAATCAGCTTAATCCCAATCGTAAACGTGGGAGCTTCCTTATCATTCCCAAACCTCTGCAATCCGTAGTAGTTGATAAACCCGTGCTCTTTAACATGGTTAATCGATTCGTTAATCAAACTATCTTCTGCTTGAACATTTCGCAAAGCAATGCGAAAGAAGTTCCCACTCAGTTGGCCGATTTTGAGACAATGATCTTTAAAGATGATATTTCCAACTTTCAAATTCCGTATTCGTCCCGCATTGGACAGGAGTTTTGCTGGCGGAAACTTTCGGACACAACACCATTGGCTTGTTTTAGCTCGTTTGTCTTTAACGCCAGCATAAGTAATTCCTGATGCAGATATTCGCAAAACCTGGCCCATTTTGAAACATGCATCTATGGTGTCCATCATTTCCTTATACATTACAAAGTGAACATATTCTGGCAGTCCTTCAGGCCAACTGCATCTAGTATCTTTTGCTGAAATTAAAAATACCTAATCTTTATTGATGATTTAAGAGCTTAGCACAGAATGGAGGAAAGAAAAATTTTAGATTAAAATAACTAAACTAGACAGAATGTCTTTATGAATTTTAAGGCATTGGTTGATACGGAAAACAATGCAAAAAAACTAGTTTTTTCAATGTGTAAGGATTTAAGGCCCCTTACGGAAAAAGATGGGTAGAAGAGATAGATTCAGACCGATTTTTGGGAGCTTCCGACACATAGGAACATGCACTGACGCTTTCAAATCGTTTATCATCGCCGAAAAGCGATACCTTGTGAACATTAAGCATGGTGATTCGTAAGGCGATGCATCCCTTGTTGGAAGCTTTGGAACAATTTGATTTACCTACCATATTTTGGAAATGCTTAGTCGGCATTCTACAGAATGTTAGTAGTGTGTTTAAAGAATCAAATGCATTTATATTATGATATATTTGGTATAGTTTAATAAACGTCACATACTTTATACAAAGTATACCTTTGTATAACCCATTAGTATCGAGCGTTTTAGTTATTGCAATTTCGAGGCCCTGATGATGACTTGAACAAAACCAAAAATTACACTTCAATACAAAAGGTCCGATTCTTTGATTCCATCCAGTGTGTACACACCCAGTCCTATTATTATTAATAACTATTTGATCCTTCTTAAGGTGAAATCAGTCCTACAGTATCTGTATAATTAATTAGAATGCAACTACTTAATGTGCGCATTAAAATTCGCTTATGAAATATATGAAAATATTTTTGAACTAAACGTTTTTGGTCCATGGCATTTTAAGGAAATATATCTCAAAGAATTTGCATTCAAAAACGCATCGACTAATAAAGTTTCCTCAATTTATCTTTAAATTAAATAAAAATAAGTGTAAAACTACTCCCATGTTTTGTAGCTAAAGAACATTGCAACTTACATTTTTTACCCCACTTCTTGAGTTGAATAATAGTTTTGGAGTCTTTCGTAATGGTGGAAGTGACCACTTTCTGTCCAAAATGCTTCCTGATACATTCATGAACCATCTTCCTCTCATCCTTAGTAAAGTCTTCCGCATCTAGTTCAACTAGATGCGGATGATTTTGGTCAGATGCTTCATTATCACTCTCAGAAACCATCTTTCTCAAAGATTCCCATTTGTCTTGAGATATTTTATGGAACGGAGATTGTTCAGTCCGAATGTATAAAAGTTCTGCAGGTTCTTCAAACTCTTTTGGCAGATTTCTGTCGGTTAATTTCACTCGATTTCCTGCTAGATCAATTTCGTTAACTTGAAAATCCGAATATCTAGCCTTAATGACAGCAGGGTATCCTGCCAATTTGCTGATATATTCGTCTATTCCCACATCTTTTTCACTTAGTTGATCGTGATGAACATATTCTCGTTTTACATACGTGTGATTGTCTCTCTTCACATGGCCTTTTTTGAAAGGATACCTTCGCTTGGATGCTTGCCGGTCACTCTTCACAGTTTCTTCGTCAGAAGACATTGAAGCTCACAAAACTTTTCAGGGTTACACAGTCTTAAGCGAAGCACCAGAATTAACTTATAATGTATCTGATATAATGTTAGCTCCTGGCAGCAAGAAGCAAAATGTGAAATGTGTCCAACTAATTTGTAAGGTTATAAACTATTTTCTGAGGTTAGTTGCTACTCCTCCTCATTTCACAGCTTGTAATTAATGAAAAAATCCTATTTTATGTAGGAAAAAGACGAAATGGCTGTTTCTTCTTTTTTCTTTGTTTGTGGGTTATGTCACAAATCACATAGATAAACACGAGTAAGCAGACAGATCAGAGAGTAGATATCAGTAGAGAGTAACCTCTGTGATCTGTGGTTATGTTACCTGTCACATAACTTTTATAAAACAGGGAAAATATGGCTTTATTTATCAGAAAAGGTAACAAGCACATTTGGGGACTATCTAAGCAAAACGCAAGCCCAGAATATTTTATTAATTTTGTTGGCAACTTGGATTGAAGGCACTTTTCCTGGCCATCAATTGAATTTTTCCTTAATTAGTCCCGAATAGAGCATAAGAACGCAAATTATAGATGCAGCCAAGCAAATAACTTGACACTATTTATTTATTTGCTCAAATGTGCTTCAATTATCCGACAATTCAATTATAATTAAGTGACTATCCAATAAATTGAAGTACTTCTTGCTTTCAGCAACATGTATTCCCGTAACGCCTTTGGTTCAGATTAAGAGATTTCGGGGCAAAATTAACATCCAAAGGCCCAAACCTCCACATTTTGCAAAAGCGAAATTTATTGAACTCACACGACCATGGTTTTTATCGAAGAAGTATGGCAAGAGTCCCATGGAGTTGTGTTCCAACTTGACAGACCCTCGGAAAGATAAACAGGAGGAACGAAATATATTCCAAGAGATTATTGCTCAGGATTTGCACCAAAGGCTTAAAACTTCGAAGTTGGTGGTTTTTTGCCATTACAACCCAATGACCACAGACCAACAGTTTTCTGCCCGTGTCAGCTTTCATAAATTGAAGATGTATTTTAAACAATATGGGAAAAAAACTTTAGAATTGGCCGTTAAAGGAACACCATATGAGGTCCTACTTGACTTCTATGTGTCCCATAACATGACGATATTTAGTCCTGAGCCGGAAATAAAAAAACTACTGCAAGTTTTGAAGAAATTTCCGCAACTAATTTTGCTAGGTAATGAGCATTCAACCAAACCAGTTGAATCATTTTACTCATCAAATAATTTATTTCAGCTGGAATCTATGAGAACCGTTTATTGAGCAAAGAAGACCTTGTCAAATATAGTAAAATACCCAACATACAAGCTGCTCAATCAGAGTTAGTTCACACACTAAACACCGCAGGCTCACAGTTAGTAAGTAGCCTTAACAGGCACCAAACCACTTTGGTATCACGCTTGGAGCAAAGAGCCTCTCAGTTGGAAGATAACAAATCCTAAAGCATTGAAGGATTTATTCATAGTCTTGATCATAAATCATAAAATAAATATGTCTCATTTATTTGGCTGATTTTTTCGCTTTCTTTTTATCGCTCCTGTCTGTTCCCTTTTTGCCTTTCTTCTTGTCCGTTGAATGTAACACAGGACGCGGGGGAATTTCATAGTTTAAATAAAGAGCAAAGTTTGGCATGCACAGGTACTTAACGAGAGGCAAGTTTCTCAAGTATATTTTGCAGAAAAATTCCAAAATATCCTTGGCTTCTTTAACGCTAAAAACCTTTTTTTGAGCTGGAGGAAACTGAAATAATTAAATGAATAAATATAGTCAATAATTACTAAACAGTTCGATTTACCAAAACCCAAATTCGCTCATGGATTAAAAAGTACTTATGTACAAAATTCGAAACTGACATTATTGTGGGACAGTCTGAAAAGTACTTTGCTTTAAAGGAAATTAATATTTAAGCATAAAAACGTGCAGAACTTTAATACATTTTTTTGTCCTGGTCTATGAATTTACGAAAACTCATGCTTCGTCATGGATTTTAAATATTTCTTGCAACAAACCGAAGATGAAATTTTCACTAGATATTCAGAAACGTATTTTGCTTCGGGAAAATAAAACATTTAAGCGCAAAAACTTGCAGAACATGATGCTCTTGCTTTTCTCTGATGGAGAGGTGTATAAATTTACGAAAATTCAACCTCTAACGATTAATGTTCAGGCAAAAGAGCCTAGATATTTCCGATAATTGGACGACGAGATCTCGACGGCACCCCAAATCCCAAAAAAATGGAATAATGAAGAAACATGCCAGCATTTCTCTACCAGTTTCTCACAGAAAATTTCTTACCGGCAAACTGTGGCACATCATGAGCTCCTTGAAATAGATGTAGATTTTTTCGGCGCTAACTTGTAGTCCGCTGGTAAAGTACAAATGAGTTTGGTAAAACTGTGATAAAACAGTAGCGGTTTTTTCGACATCAAAGGCGCGGCTTTGGCAAAACTTTGTAACATCACTTATTAGCTGAATGAAGAGATCCTTTGGTCGCCCCTTGGAGTGGTTACTTAATGTAGAAGCTGATTTGAGAGAGCAAAATAAATAATCTTTATAACGTGAGATTGTGCTAAACAAACCGATAAAGTCGTAAATTTCTTTGGAAGTCTTCAAGTTCAGTAGATGACTGGTTTTTTCTTGGTCGAGATACTCGTATTGAGAGATCCTTGGCTCTTTTACAGTAGCTGTAGTTTGATTGAATGCTGTTATTCTATGTCTCTCCTTGGGGTTGAGAGTGAAGCAAAAGTCGCCGATTTTAGGCAGATTGCTAAAGGGTAGTGAGGAAATTTGGTAAGTTAAAGCGTCCCGTTTAGAACCCATATTTGTCTTTGACAAAAATCACTGTCACCAATTTATGAAAGGCTATAAAACGCAGGTTAATAGTTAGGAATGATTTTAGTCCAAATTTACAGTTTCATTCTTATGCTGTTATTCTTATTTCGCGAACTATTGGAAGTTATATTTTGAATGGTTTGGCGCGGAAAATTCAAATTTGACCACACATGAATTCTGGGTAAATGCGAATCTACTTCTCATGCGTCCCAGAAAATGTCAAATCGATCTCAATTTAGCAAGATGGTGGAAGTTGTAGAAGATATTATTATCGACTCTGATGACAACGAGGATATTTTTCCGAAATCTCCGGAAGAGTGAGTAATATTGAACATTCATTTATCCGTAGCTTTATTTTGGCTTGTTGGTATTTGCGATTATCCATACATTTCCCTTAAAACCATTGTTCGGCACCTGCTTTCATGTGGACTATTCAGTTCATTGTTTTGATTTCTAGAACAATCTGTATGCTGAACAAGCGAAAAATTTGCTATAATAGTATGTTAATCAAAGCGGATACTAGTCTATAGATACTTTAAAACAAACTATCAATGGAGACATGTTATTTTTAGACACATTACTCGGGTCTAGTCCAGGTCTTTCTATCTCCTCCTCGCCTCATTTCTGTATTATTTATAACTTCCCACGTGCTTTTGAGTGCAAAATGCTGACGCGAATCAATCATATTGTCTCATATTTACTTGATTTGCACGAAAGGACGGGGGTTTTCTTCCATCTACGCAATTTGTCCTCATTTCCAACGTGGTTTCTATCAATTAGCCTCTTTTGCGGAGAACAAACCTTTTGTAGGTGTAGTCCTTCCCCGATAAGCCTTTTGATTTATCGGTAGCTTTATTTCGGCTTTCAATGAATTTAAAACCCCCTATAGCTTAAACGTAAAAAAAGTACTCTTGTTTCACCTCGGTAAAACGAAACGCTGTCCATGTTCCATATCTGATGTACCTAGAAACAACTTTTACACATTTATCAGTTGTTAACTCACACAAGCAATCTGTACAAATCGATTTATAATGTTTTTAGGTATTTTATTGTATTATTTATTTTCCGCGAACGGAGTGAGAATTGCAATAATGAAGTCATATTAGTCTTTTTGGGACGAGTTGAGCAGAAAACGAGTTCCATCTCGATGGGATATTTTCACAAAAAAACACACTTTCTTGCTTTAGACTAGGCACTTTTTTCAGACAGCCGCCTATCGATACGGGGCTTATCATCAATCAGAAATCGCCTGAGATGAAGTGGAAGTGTCTGGAATCAGCAGTTGAGTTTTGCCAATTCGTAATAATTTTTTGGACAAGCGAGAAACTAATATTGACTGTAGAAAAATTGGTCACTAATTCTCATTATTTAAATGAATGCAGAAAAAGCAATTGCGTATCTAATGCGTAAAAAAATACCTAGTTTAAAATAATAATTTTGAAATATACAAAAGTTTAAAAAAAGAGAAGTTTTTGTCGACAATATATTTTTAATCTGAAGTCACTAATACATACTCCAAAAAAACGAAAATCAAAAACTCGATCCAAACACTGTTTTTTATAATTCGTTGACAAACCAGTTTTTTATTTTCTTTCTTTTGTTGCAAACGTTTCTTACCAGCAAATTTGATTGACTTTCCCAATTACCGCAATTCATTTCCAGATGCGCCGAACTAAAAAAAGAAAATGGAAATCAATTATTCAAAATCAAGCAGTACCAGTCGGCTCTTCAACTCTACTCTGAAGCCATCAACTTGTGTCCAGAAACAGCCGCATATTATGGAAATCGAGCAGCGTGTTACATGATGTTAAATCGGCATCGAGACGCTTTAGAAGATGCCAGAAGAAGTGTACAAATTGACCCAACGTTTGTCAAAGGGTAAAATAACCCGATTTTCCGATAGTTCAAAGTGTATTGTTTTTGTTTTCGTAGATATGTTCGTATTGCCAAATGTGGAATAGCACTCGGAGATTTGGTCACAGCTGAAAATGCTGCCAAACAAGCAGACAGTTTGCAATTGGGCTCTGTGACCAATGAAATGAAATCCATTCAGAAAATTAAACAATTTGAAGCAGACGCGCTTAAAGCAAAAGACGCGAAAGATTATCGCAAGATGGTATTTTGCATGGATCGATGCTTGGACGAGGCTTCCACATGTGAGAAGTTCAAGCTTATTAAAGCCGAATGTTTGGCATATTTAGGAAGGTACAGCAAATTATCAAGCCAGCAAGTGCAATTAATAATGTCTCTGAATATTTTTTCAGGTATCAAGAAGCACAAGAAATTGCAAACGATATATTACACGTAAATAAGGGGAGCGCAGATGCAATATATGTCAGGGGCTTGTGCCTTTATTATGAGGATAGCATTGATAAAGCTTTCAACCATTTTCAGCAAGTAATTCCTGATAGTTCGTATTGATGTACTTTTATGAAGAAGTTAATTTCCTAGGTGCTTCGTCTCGCCCCTGGCCATACTAGAGCGATGGAACAATATAAAAGAGCTAAACTACTGAAAAAGAAAAAGGAAGAAGGCAACGAAGCATTTAAACTGTGTAAATTCCACGACGCTGTTAAGCTTTACACAGAAGCACTAGAAATTGACCCGTTGAACAAGAAAACCAACGCAAAGTTATTCTTCAACAGGTAGCTTCCTTTGGCTAAGAAAAAGAGTTTTTAATAATATTTACATTTTAGAGCTACTGCACTGTCACGGCTTACCAAAATTAAGGACGCTATCTTAGATTGTTCATCGGCTCTTAGGTTGGACGACACATACCTTAAAGCACTATTGCGAAGAGCTAAGTGCTATATGGATATTGGAGAGTTTGAGGATGCAGTAAAGTAAATAGCCGAACCTCAGTTAAAAGCAATGTAACATAACAGTTTATTTAAGGGATTACGAAAAAGCACTGAAAATGGATAAAAGCCGAGAGAATAAAAGACTATTACAAGAAGCCAAACTGGCTCTGAAAAAAAGCAAGAGAAAGGATTACTACAAAATTTTGGGAGTTGAAAAGAACGCCAATGAAGACGAGATTAAGAAGGCTTATAGGTGGGGTTGATTTTTTGGTTAATTGAATTGCACTGTTAAGATAAATGTTGGTTTTAGAAAACGTGCACTTATCCATCATCCCGATAGACACGCAAATGCAACTGATGCTGAGAAGAAGGAGCAGGAGAAGAAATTTAAAGAATTAGGAGAAGCTTATGGCATCCTCTCGGATCCAAAGAAGAAAGCTCGATATGACAGCGGTCAAGATATGGATGATTTTGATGGCGGCATGTCAGGTATGCATGCATTCGAAGAAATTCAAAATGTATATGGAATTTCCTCAAATACTATTTTAACGTTTTTTTTTTAGATATTGATCCAACTCAGGTCTTCCAATCATTCTTTAGTGGAGCTGGTGGCCCTGGAGGACAAAATGGAGAGTACTTTGGAGCATTTCCGGCTGGATTTTCTTTTCAATTCGGTTAAAAAATTGTATGTTTTCTTAAGCGCTTGAGCAATACCATTTTTCATTTTTTGTTCGTCTTTGTACATTCCAGACGTTTCTTTTGGGTCTTAAGTATCTTACGTTTCTTTAATAAATTTCAATTGCTTCGCGTTTCACATTGTAAATAAGCTGTCCTCGAATTAGTATTTATCAGATAAGTGTCCTCCCTTAAAACCAATCTCCTGTATGATAACACTGCATAGTGTATAGATTAGTTTGCAAGTATTACAATGTTCTTAGGTGTTGCTAATACATCATATATATGCACCATTTAGAGGGTTTTTATTTGCAAACAAACGGCAGAAAATTTAAAATTGAATTTATATAAACCAAGAAACATCAATTGATTGCTTAGGAAATTTATTTAGGATTTTGGTGGTAAAGAAAATTATTCACCGGACCGAATTTTGCAATTTATTATGCAAGAAAGTCGTAGTCAACAAATATACCAGCGAGATAATTTTTTAAATGTATTTACCTCATTAAAGCGATTCTGTTCAAATGTTGATTGAAAGTGCGGTAGCCACGAGAACAGTATTTCCACCTAGAAAACTATGGCAACGCTAGAAAATCGACAAATTTCCTCGCTTTCCACGGCTGCGCCCTCCTTTATTCCCGAAAGAGAATTCGGTCAAATGAGATGAGAGAAAATGCCACCCTACTAGGGGAAAAAAATAGTGTTAAGTTTTATCACGCTGATAGAGGAAACAGCATGAATGAAGGGTAAATCTGCTAATTTTCCGGTAAGACACATTGAGGCTTAAGTGGCATTTATAGTTTTGAGTGTTTTTTTATATTACCTTTGGTCATTGATTTTTAGTAACAATGATTAAAGGGGTGAATTTTGCAATGTAAAAAGTTGTCAATGAGCAAATATGTTTTCACAAAACTTGAGGTTTAATAATTTTATTTTTATACATTAACGCATTTTAGTACAATTTGTTCAATACTGATTTACTGTTGTGCTTTAAAAGGAATCGAAAATAGATGGGCGCCTTAATGATTTTTTTCCAGATTACCATCACTTTGCTGATGTTATCTTTCATTCCGTGGCCGGGACCAACAGTCTTTAAAATATCCTGCCCCAGAGACAATGCGAGGATTGTAAGGAAAGTTATTCAAACCAAGTGGATTCCAGTATTGGACAAGCATAAGGTAAATTACGCATTTCTGAGTAATTATAAGTGTACTGTGAGCGAATATATAAACAATATTTTTTTCTTTTTCGTTAGGTAAAATTGCCTCTGGAGTGCCCCTTTCACCCAAATAGAGACATTTTCGGACCACAAGAATCGTTAAAGAAACAGCACCGTCCATCGCAATGGACTTGCGGAATATGCGGAAAGTCCTTTTTCGAGGAAAAGTTCTTGGATATTCACTTTGATAACCGACACAAGGGCAATATCAACATGGTAAATATTACTTAAATAATGCATCTAAATATATCTACCAATCGCAATTTAGGCAGAAGACGCAGTATGTTTGGCCGATTACTGTGACATAATGAGATGCGATGTGATCAACATTATGGACCTGAAAACAGTGGCATCCAATCATGATAACACAGACATTGAGATTTGGAGGGAAGCTTCATCGTATTCAAAAGCACTGGTAGCTTCAGGACCTCGAGACGTGGCAAAGTATGTAATAAAGAACGGGAACTTTGTGCCAGTTCAAAAGGTTGACAAAGAAAAATCTGGGAAGCGGTGCGAAAAAGCTGATACACCTGAAACTGCAAATATGAAGGGTAAAAACATGATTTTCCTTGAAAGATCAACATATATGCTGATGAAATTTTCAGATAGCAGCTCATCGAATGAAGGAGACGTTTTTCAGCAAAACGCAAGTTCGAATAACGTTTGCCAAAACGATCTTGTCGATTCGGCTTTGCCGCCACCCGATAACCGGCAGCAACGTCTTAACGAAATCCAAAAACTAAAAGCCAACTGCAAACCTGAGGAACTTCAGAAAATCAAAACCAAGTGCGAAATCTTAGTTAGGGACTGTATAGCGAGCCTGTTGATTCAATTGAGCGTCAAAGACTTTAGAGAAGTTGAAGGTACTTTCGAGGACGAGCAGTTTCAAGCTCAGTTAAATGTTGATTAATTTTTAGATGAATTAAACAGAGCGGTGTGTTGGTACTTGACCTGCGACCGATACTGGGAGGACTCCCAAAGCGACATCAGAACATTTCCTTGGGGAATTTTGTGCATGCTCATCATGGTATTGTCTTTGGGAGCATGTCTTTGTTATTACGTTGTTTGGGTTTTGTTTGAGTAAGTATGCGACACTACATTTTATATATCGACTCTGGCTTCCAAAATTAAAACGTTTGTGGTCCAAGTACAAGACTAAAAAGTCCATGTGGATTTATAACTTGGAGTAGCACGTTTCAAGCACAATCACACACAAATTAAACATGTTTCTTTGCTTGGATTCTTCAAATCCACCGAGTTAAAGATGTAAAATGATATTTTTCGGCAACATTTCTGGAACAGGTGTAATAGCAATTCACACTTTAAGTAGGTAGCCAAAACACCAATTCCCGAACTTAGATGTGAGTTGGTTGAAATTTTGAGTTTACAAAATACCTAATCAGTATTTTTAGTACGGACGATGTTAGTGTAACGAGCGCCAGTATGACTGATCGATCTACACCATCACCTGCACATTTACTAAGGTCAGATGTTGCTGTAGGAGTGGATGGACATCATGTCTACTCCGAGGACTATATCGGGACGGATAAAGACGATTACATCTACGTTACCTATCCACCAGACTTAAAAAGAAGACTGTTAGAAAGGTAAGTAATTATAAAGTCGAGTTGTAAAGAAACCAGTCAATTTCAGGGTCGATTAATGAATGAATATCATAGACTTAGACCTTAGTTCTCGGATAGTTTTGTAGACTAGTTGAAACAATCAAAACATCTAATAAGTTTTGATTGCCAATAGTGTGTAAATGTAGAAATGATAACAGACAATCGTTTTTGTAGCTGCTACAATCGAACAACGCGCTTGTGAGAGTAGGAGAGGCTAGTCTAGGAAAGTCTAGAGTTATCAGAAATTGAATTTGCAAGTCTGAGATTTGTCTAGGAATATTTGTAGTGTAGATAACAAATTTAGTAACAGATATATGTTGTGGTCTTCTAGGTTGAAGCTAGTGCTTAAAAAAGTGTTACTAATAGTTTCCTATCTCTCAAGGTTTGGAACTTCAGTGCCTACGATACTGTCCCTTAGTATATGTACCACGTTTTTGAGTAACAGCGCGCATAGCTGGGTGTTAAAATCACTTTAAGTTCTCTACTAAATGAGATTTATCGATAACTGGCAAAACCAGGTGCAAATACTGTTTCGACTTAACTATTTAGATTCAATAGATTGTAGAGTAGACCCAATTCTAGAATTTTTATAAAATTCTCTTTGTTAACGATAAAATAAAAAATATTGCTTTGTAGTAACTTCGTTCACATATTGAATTAATCAAAAAAAAAAGTTCCGACTTCCGTTCCCGCAAGCTCCCACCATTCAATTTCCACTGCAGAGATAACACATTTCTTCAAAAAAAGGGGTTGTCGACTAAAGATTGGACATGTTTATTACAGAACAAATTTGCGATTTTCTACATTAAACTTTCGTTTCATTTTCTGTCATTAAAATTATTATCGATAATATTATCTATTAAATGAATGTGTTCATTACGTGACCAACTTTTCAACCTCAACAGCGATTGACTACATATTTCCTGATCAAAAAAGCTTGCAAAAAACGATACAATTAGGAAACGATACCAACAGTAAAAAGCGCCGGTCCTTCACATTTCCAAATCGGCTGTCAACAACTAAGAAAATTCCATCGACGATAACTTCAGTAGATGAGATGAACAACTGGAAACCCTATAAAAATCAGGATTACGTAATACATTCATGCGCCCACACATTCAGGAAATTTAAGTTAAAGCTTGGATGAAGCAGTAAAAAACCACGCATACTTACCGTTTGGTTAGTTTGGGTGCCCGATGCGAAAAATGGCAAGGTTTTAAAAATTAAAAACCAAGCTATAACTTGAAACGAACAAAATAAGCCAGATTTGAAAAGGCTTACTTAAATTAGTGAAATACCAGGTAAAAATTAAAATATTCTGATTCACCGCCGGAAGCTGAAGGCTGAATTAAACATACACACTCCCCGCTCTTTCACACTCACGCAAATCGTATCTACAAAAAGAAAAAAATAATACGCATAGTCATGTCGACAGAAGTTAGCGCCTTCTAAATATCCGGTCTCTGCCACCACGATCTCGAACTCCGCCGCGACCTGACGATCTGATTTTCTCTAAGCGACGTTTATTTTCTTCTAATCGTGCTTGACGAAGTTGTTGTTTGTGAGCGATCTATAAGAATACATTTTCGGTTATCACTATCCGTTCGTCAGAAAATGTAAAAAATCGTCTTACTATTTGTTCTTTTGCGAGTTCTTACCTCTTCAGGCGAAAGGGGCTGCCAATAAATGCTGGGAGTGGCTTGGGTTTTCAAAAAAAGATCGTCCATCGCTTTTTGAGGAACGGGTTCCTCACGACTACGTTTCTTATGGTGTTCTACAAAACAAAACAGTAGTTGTACATTCAATAATCAGTTACTTGGCTTGATTTACATACCTTCTGGCGTGAATGATCGGCGGCTGTGCTTCCTTTCGCGTCCTTCCTTACTCCTAGATCGGGACATCTTCCTGTGATCTTTGCCAATATCCCATTCTCGCTTCAACGGACGTTCGTCCTTCTTTTCTTCGACGTTTTCCTGTAACGCTGGCTTCTGTGGAAAAGTGGCGCATAAAATACGTGGTTTGTAGGTCCAATAAAATACTTGTTCACATTTAAGTAGTTCACTTACATGGTTCTCTATCTCTGGGGCCTTTTCTTTGCGGAATATCACAACTGGGGGATTCTTCGCAGTCTCCATGTCTTCCATCGTAGAATAGTCAATGATCAGCTTCTTTCCATTCCCAATTGGCCAATGAACTCCATGAAGGGCATTTCTCGTTACTTCCGCTTCCCTAAAGTAACACAATTTGATAACATTATTTACGATATAGAAGGTGCCTCAAAAATGTGCAAAAAGGTGTTGTCTGGGCGATTTAATTTTTAATAGATGGTTTAAATTTAGTTAAGTGGCAGTTTATGTGAATTTACCAATGTTTTATTTATAAAGTTCAGATATGCTAATAGTTTTCCAGACGACCATTGAACTGCTTTGCAATGGAATTGAGCCACCCTCTACAAGTTACTATAACTAAACAAAATGGAAGACAAATACCGTAAGAAATAACGAAAAATCAACTTACTCAGCTGTTTCATAACAAGCAAAGCATTTTGATTTGATCTTGTCCGTCCAAAATCCATCCTCCTTGAGTTTCCCGGTACGTTCCAACAATTCCTTCAGTTGCTTAACCGTGAAAGGTCGAACCAGGTTGGTAATGAACAGTACCTCGGAAACCGGATTTCTCGGCGGACTTGGAGGCGGCTTCAGCTTGCTCACTGAATCCTCCACGATGCTGAAATTCCTGTTAGTCGCAATAATGGTCTCCATATCTGCTTCCTCTGGTTCTGCGTTAAGTTCCGCTTCGATGTTCTCCATTTCTTCTTCCTCCAACTCTTTAAATGTTTTGCGATTTGACTTTTCTGTGGATTTTGGTTCGGATATTTCCAAATCCACATCTGCCTCGTCCAGCAGTTCAATGGTAGGACAAATTTCTCTCAAGCTATCCAGAAGGAGCACATTGTCGACTTTTAAGTGCGATATATCTGGTTGACCCCAGTTGGACCTCTTCAGGGACTCGTCGCTTGAGGGTAGAGGATCTTCAAGCCTTTCGGGCAATTTTCGGATTAGTTTCACCACTCTCCTAGGCTTCAGAGGTTTTTCTGGTTTGTCTAAAGGGGAAAAAATGTTATCCAGGTTTTAAATAATATAATAGCTGATCACTCACTTTCAACTTCACTGGGTGCTTTCTCAACGACGACGCTGAGTTTACGTTGCCTTTCATTAATCACTATATTATCACTTGTGGACGTTCGTCGCTCTTTACTCTCTGACAGTGATGTGCTTCGTGTTAAGACAACATGTTCCTTTAGATCAGGTTTGCTACCGTCTTCAACTGCTGATCGTTTCAATGTAATCTTCCTTCGGGTGACCTTCTCCTCAGATTTAATAACAGGGTTCTCTGGAATTTCCACAGCAGAAGCTTCATATCCCGAACCCCAGTCATTGCCTGGAGGTTGTTCAATAGGCGATGATGAGTCATTATTGCTCTCCTCCTCCTTTTCTTCCTTAGCAATAATTGCTTTGATTTCAGGACGTTTAAGGACAATTTTCTTCTTGCTGTCCTCTTTTTTGTCCGGTTTGCTAGACGATTCGCTAACCGAAATCCTTTCATCCTTTGACATTCTGTGCAGTCTGATTTTTTTAGTCGCCTCTGGAAGCTCAGGTTTTGAAGCTTGAACAACCTCAGTTTCTGCAATATCAGAAGTGGAATCTGCGATCGTTGCAGGCGGGATATCTGGGGTATTTATACGTTCTTCAGATGATTTTTCATCATTTTTTGGAGCGTCTTGACACTGCTCTACAATTACTTGTGTTAAGTCCTTTGAATCTTCCTCATTACAAGATTCAGACACCGGGTGTTCCGAAATTACTACTTCGGTAGTTTCATCGGTAGTTATTTCTGTAGCCTGATTTTCACAAGTCATTTCAGCCACTAAAGTTTGAGATATGTTGACGTCAATTTCCGATGGATCCGTGCCGTTTTTAGAACGATCATCATTTTGCGTGTTGTCATCTTTAGTAAGAATCGGTGACTCTTCTGTCACCTGCACATTTGCATTCTCAGTTTCAGCATTGTCATTGACAATATTCGACTTATTTATACACTTAGACTTACCTTTCGCATTGTCACCGACATTTACCTCTTCTTCTTCAATACGTGGCTCTTCAATTTTTATCTCTTTTTCGGCTGACTTAATTTCAGATTCAACGACAAGCTTTTGCTTGGCTTCATTCACCACCATTGATCTTGTTCTCTTCTTGAGTGGCTTTTTTGATTCTCTATCAGTTTCATTATCTGATGATCCTTTTTCTGAAGCATTCGATAGCTGTGCCTGTTTCACTTTCGCCAAAACCTCATCCTCCGAACTTTCGCTTTTTGAACTACTTTTTCGACGTCGAGATCTTCTCGGTGATTCGCGTCGATTTTTTTCACTCGCCTTTAAGGCTGCTGCTCTTGTGGTTTTTCGCACCATCTGAAATTAAAATTAGGAAATTTTTACATATTTTTCCTTAGTTATTAATAGACTGATGAATAGAGTATCGCTTAATAGACTCAAGAAACCAACACACCTTATAATGCCTATAAATATTAACTTGGCGAGGTTACTTTGATAAGGTTCTAAGACTTTCCAAGATCTTTATGTACATTTTTTCATTGCAAGCAAAAGCTTGATTGCAAATATTTAGAGTAGGTATTTTGGATGAGTCGGCGGTAAATTATTCGATTAAGTAGTTACTATAAAAATAATTCGAGCACACAATCACAATTCCAGATGCATGATATGTTTTTGAGTGTCTCTAGAAAGTACTTTTATGAGAAGAGAAACGACTAGCAAACGTGCTACAAACCACAAAAATTATACATAAATAATATTCGAGTTTCTAAAGCTCGAACTTTCACCAACATTAATTAATTAAAGAAAAAGATCGGCAAGAACTTTTAAAGGACAACAAAGAAAGAAACACAAGGCTATGTGACTCTTGTTTCACATCTTTTCTATTGTGCCCGAAACTTTTCGATTCGATTGATCACTCTCACATACACGTCGTAAAGACATTAATTTAGCGCATTGTTCTTGATGGATGACGCATTTGCTGTTGTGGAAAAAAGTTCTGGGAGAAGCGGTGTTATATATTTTTTTCATTCAGACATGAGCTGAGCTAAAAAAAAACATCATTCAGCTCACTTGCTGTTACAAAACACGCAAAAATTTTAAGTGACTAAAAAGAAAGTAAAACAGTACAAGATAGAGATATTAATTATGCTAACTGACTTTCCAAATTGGTCATTTTTATGAGCAAAAATTGCAGATAAGTGAATATACCAGTTTCTTCCTGTTGAATTGACTGTGGCTGATAAACTTGTCGCCAAATGTTTATAAAAATTAAATATACAGTAAAGTCCGCTTATAATGAACACGGTTAAAACAAACTTTTTTCCTTAATTGAAACGTCGTCCATAAAGACCAACGTATTTTTTTACTGGTTATAACGAACTTCCGGATATAACGATCACTTTTTAGGTTAGTTGTCTGTTCACTTTCCGTTTATAACGAACTTCCACGCTCAGCAACACCAATCGTGCGGAGTTGTTTATATTAGTGAGAGCGAGAGGCGTGACTTGTTTTTTGCCGCGTTATGTTTGTAAATCGTTTTAGAATGGAAAAACAAAAACGCAAAGCTTTTTCACTAAATGAAAAGTACGTGATTATTAACAAAATAAAAAGTGGAGTAAAGCAGAGTGACATTTGTAAGGAATTAGCACTTGGAAAGTCTACTGTTGCAACAATATGGAAAAACA